ACCCTTCGGTGTGGAATAAGAAACTGTCATGGTAGGAAAACAAAGTGCAAGCCCCTGAAGCTGCCTTATTGCTCACAGAGCCACATGCTGGGTGAAACAGCAGAGATCGTCCTTAAAGACTCAAGGGGATAGGAATGGTATGCACCGTTATATTGTCCAGGCTTGGGTCCTGAATGACAAGATGGTCCATTGCCATCCTGGGGACTACTGCAAACATCAGCAACAACAGCCGTGAATAAAGCCAGATAAGCTGACCTCACTAGAACAGATGAATGCAGCCTCTGATACATGCTGACCTGATGGAAATGCATTGTCCATTCTGTCAGGAAGAAGGATCTGAGAGGTCACATCCAGCCAGAACAGACCACAGTACATGTCCAAGCAAGACATGTTTGGAATCAGTGTCAAAGTACCTGTGGTAGACAGGGACATCAGACTGTCTGCACAGTCCCAAGAGGAGAAGTACAGGGCAAACTCTTAGGGCTGGCAAGCTCTTTCTTATAGGCTAGATAGAAAATAATTTAATCCCAGCACTCAGGAGGCAGAGGCAGGCTATCTTTGTGGGTTCAAGGCCAACCTGGTCTACAGAGTGAGTTCCCCGGGCAACCAAGGCTACACAGAGAAACCCTTTCTCGAGAAAAAACAAAAACAAAAACAAAAAACAAAACAAACAAACAAACAAAAAAAACAATAGTTTAGGCTTAGCAAGCTAAAAGGCAAAATCAGGGAAGGTAGGTAGATTCTCAGGGAAGAATTTTATAGTTGCTGTCGGTACATGTCTGTAATGATAGCACTTGGGAGATTAAGAGAGTTGGAAGTTCAAGGTCAGCCTGGACTCCATAGTAACACTTTCTCAAAAAAAATACAATTTTTATGTAATAAGATTTTTCTTTGGACCACCAGATCACAAATAATGATATTGAGACTTGTTATCAATTATGAAAGCTTGGCCTTTAGCTTAGGCTTGTTCCCAACTAGCTCTTATGACTTAAATAAACCCAAAATTTTATTAATCTATATTTGACTACATGGCTTTTACCTCTATCCCATTCTGTGTGTCCAACTCATTCCATGTCTAGCTGGCATCTCTCCTGTGCCTAGATTCATCTCCTACTTCCTCTCTTTCTGCCTGGAAGTCCTGCCTTTACCTCCTGCCTAGCTATTGGTCATTCAGCTCTTGACTAAACTAATCACAGCAATATATCTTCACACTAAGCTCCCTGGTGGTCTAAAGGTTAGGATTCGGCGCTCTTACTGCCATGGCCCTGGTTCGAATCCTGGTCAGGGAAGCACTCTTTTCTTAGCCAGGCATTGGTGGTGCATGCCTTTAATCCCAGCACTCAGGAAGCAGAGACAGGTGGATCTCTGTGAGTTCAAGGTCAGCCTGGTCTACAGAGTGAGTTCCAGGACAGGCTCCAAACCCAAATGTAGAAACCTTGTCTCAAAAAACTAAATATATGTATGTATGTATGTATGTATGTATAGATAGATAGATAGATAGATAGATAGATAGATAGATAGATAGATAGATAGGTACAGATATAGATACCTCACACAGCATGAAAATATCCCACAACAGTTTTAAAATACAAAAACTGGGGTTTTTTTGTCTGTTTGTTTTGTTTGGAATGGGGTCTCATGTAATCTAGGCTGACTTCAAACCATACAGGTGCTATATGATGCTGGGGATGAAACCCAGAGCTTCAGACATGGGAGACAACCAAGCACTCTACCACCTGAACTACAGAGTTCATAGTGGCCTATTGTATTGTCACTTTGTTCCTTGTCTGTAATGAATAGACATTTGTGCCATGTCTTCTTAGGAAAAGTATCTGGAGCAGGGCAGTGTAGCTCAGTTGGTAGAGTGCTTATCTAACATGTACAAAACCCTGGCTTCAGTCCCCACCAATCCATAAACTGGGTAGAGAGGTAGACACATAGAATCCCAGCACTGGAAAGACAGAGGCAGGAGGATCAGAAGTTGAAGGTCATACTTGACTGTATATGGAGTTTGAGCCACCCAGAGACTCAGTCTCAAAAAGAAAAAAAAGTTTTAAATAAATATATAATTACAGGACTAGGGGTATAGCTCCATGAAAGAGCATTTCCTAAGCATGTGTGAGGCCCTGGGCCCAATCTCCAGCACCACAAAATATAAAGTTACAGCTGCTTCTTGGCCATGTTCGGGTCTTCCTATCTGCAGGCCAAAGAACAAAGTAAATGACCATCAGCCGGTTACTGTACCTGCTTCCCATGAAGGAAAGCCTCATGTCAGGTACAAGAAGGAGCATGTCTGGGATTCAGGGGCCTATTTGGGGAGGGGGCACTCTTGGTGCTTCTAATCTCATAACCATAAGTAGGAAATTCAAACAATCTGGCCTGACAAAGGCAGCATGACCAAGGCTTAAGAATGCAGATCTAGGTCACCCCACCAGGAAGGTAATATGGACCAGCCAAAGGGCTCGCAGGGAGGACAATGCAGAGCAGTACAGGAAGGACATGACAATAGTTACTTGGGGTTCATTAGAGTGATAAGCACAGCTTATAACATTCTACACCATCTATCTTCTGGTAGTCTTTTTGTTTGGTTTGGTTTTTGAGACAAGGTCTCACTGTATAGCGCTGGTTGTCCTAGAACTTGCTGTGCAGAACAGGTTGACCTCTACCTCACAGAGATCCACCTGTCTCTCTGCCTTCCAAGTGGTGGGATTAAAGGCATTCGCCACCACTCCCAGCAAGTAATTGCATTTATTTATTTATTTATTTATTTATTTATTTATTTATGTATACATATGTGTTTCTGTTCGAGTGCATATATATATGCCACAGTATGAGTCAGGTCTGGTTGTCTTATTCTTTGTTCATGTGTGGCATGTGTCCATGTGTATACACATGTGTATGCATATGCTCAGAGGCCAGAGGAGGGCATTGGGCATCCCACCTTATAACCTCAGCTTTAAGCCTACGAGGAAACAGAGCCTCTCACTAAACATTGAACTAGCCAAAAAGCCCCAGTGAGCCTCCTATTTCCACTCTCCATGATGCTGGGGCCTCAGGGCCTCAGGCTTACATAGCAATCACTCTTACCCACAGAGCCATCTCTCTAGCCTCTTCTTGTCTTTTTTGGTTGGTTTTTTTGTTTTGCTTTGTTTTGGCTTTTGGGTTTTGGGTTTTTTTATTTGTTTGTTTTTCGAGACAGGGTTTCTCTGTGTAGCTTTGGAGCCTATCCTGGCACTCACTCTGGAGACCAGGCTGGCCTCAAACTCACAGAGATCTGCCTACCTCTGCCTCCCAAGTGCTGGGATCAAAGGCGTGCGCCACCAACGCCCGGCTTTTTTAGTTGTTTTGTTGGAGATAGTCTTGCAGTAGAGCCCAAGTCAGTCTTGAACTCCTAATCCACCTGCTTCAGCCTCCCCATGCTAAAATTACAGGTGTGTACTACTGTCCCCGAGTATCTTTAAGATACTGTAACCAGATAGCATCTTAAAGTAATGCCAGCTGGGCTGGGTGGTGCGTGCATTTATCCCAGCACTTAAGAGGCAGAGAAAATTGAGTCTTTGTAGGTTTAAGGCTAGCCTGGTCTGCATATGGAGTTCCAGGCCAGCCAGTTTCAAAAAGAAGGGGAAAACACTGGATGTTTACCTTGTAGCACTATAAATTTTAAGTATACAACTTTCCTTCCTATAGGATTTGTAACTAAGAATTATCTTGACTCTCACGGGTTAAAACAATTTGAATTTGGACTTTTGTTTTTTCAAGACAGGGTTTCACTGTGTAGTCTTGTCTGTCCTGGAACTCACTCTGTAGACCAGGCTGGCCTTTAACTCAGAGATTGGCTTGCCTCTTCCTCCTGAATGCTGGGATTAAAGGTGTGCACCACCATGCCTATCATGAACTTTTGAGGAGTATTGCTAACTGTTAAAAATGGGGCAGGGAGATTCCTATTTTGTTTTGTTTTGTTTTATTTTGTTTGGAGACAGGGTTTCTCTGTAGCTTTGAGTATGTTCTGGAACTCTCTCTGTAATCAGGCTGGCCTTGAGCTCACAGAGATCCAACTGCTTCTGCCTCCTGAGTGCTGGGATTTGGGGGGTTCTTAGAGATAGAGTGAATATACCAACTAATTGATAGGAGCCTCTTGAAATGAGTGGGTTATTATTGTTTGGATATGAAGAATCAACCCCCAAAAGTCTCCTGAATTGAGAGTTCAGCCCCTAGCTGGTAAACCACTTCTTATCTCAAGGGTCTCCACATTAGCTTCGTTTCTTCCCTTCTCCATAAGATGGAGATGTCTGTCTCTGAGATGAGCTATGTATTCCTGTTCCAGGTTTAGGGGGTTTGATCTAGAGCCAGATGGCAACTCTGCTCCCACTTTATCTGTTTCACTAGAGCACAGGGACAAAGCCCCAGGGAAGTCAGGGTCAGAAAAAGGGAGCCTGACCAGCTTCAAAGGCCTGGGTCCAAACTCAGCACTATAGCCGGCCGTTAGACCCCTGGATCACTGGACCTGTCTGGGCCTCCATTTTACCACCTGACACTGCGCAGCTATAGTGGGAATTCATTCCAACAAGTTTTGGGGTGCTGGCTTTAGGGTGTGGCTTCAGTGTGAAGACATGATCCCTTATAAGGAAGAGGAGGGGTCTCTCTCTCTTGGGTGGTGGTCTGAGACCTGATTGCAGCATCCTGTATCATCATCACAGCATCCTGTATTCCTCCAATGGCAGAAGACCATTGGTCGCTCTTTACCTTCATTGCATGAGTGTTCCCCAAATAAACATTTGTTATTCTTGTATTCAGGCATTCGTGGACTTCCTTAATCTGCCCTCACACAGCAGTGGGTCCTATGCACTTATACTTAATAAGAGTCCTTGGTATGTCACTCAGTATGAACCCAGCTTCTCTCCACAGCTCTGTTCCCAAAAGGCACACACACATGTACACGCACATCCACACAGCATGATTCCTAGGAAACACTGACTGAGACAGGTCAGGTAGCTCTCAAGTTCTTTATTTCCACATTGGCACATACATCAATACAAAGGCGGACAACTACAAGACTACGAAGCACTGCAGGAGCAGGGCAGGCACTGAGGCCGCAGCTATGTAGAGCAGAGATGTGAGAAAGGGCGGAGCCCCAGAGGGAAACTCACAGGCCACAGGAGACTGACACACCACTGGGCGGAGGGAGCAGATACACTTCACGTTACACACAGTAATAGAAACAGGAGAAGGACGAAGGACAGCCAAAAGAGCCAGGTTCCAAAAGCCAACCAGGACTGGGGAGGTCCCTTTATGTGAGTGGTTCAAGGGGTAGAGAGGGCCCTCCTAATAACCACCTACCCTAGGGACCTGGGCCCCCACCCCGACCACTCACAATCCATCTCAGAGCTGGGTCTGGTAGCCAGCCAGTCTGCACACAGGTTGCTTCCACCCCTGGGCCCCAGTAGCCACAGCTTTGGCACCAGTTTCAGAATGAGGAACTGGGGTTCTTTCAGACTGTCCTGGAGGAGGGTGGAAGCTTGGGCCCAGGTCTATCAGGACCGAGAAAGGCCTGCTGCAGACATGAGGTCCTGTTCCAGAGGAACGATAGGAAGGGTGGGACTTGGCCAGGCAGCAGAAGGAAGGGTCTCAAGCTGTCTCTGGGGCCCCTGCAGGCTGTTGGGAAGCAGCAGAGCCTGGAAGAGAAGCTGGCGGATGTGAGCCAGGAGCCTGACCCACCTCAGACCCAGTGGTCTGTGTCAGGAGGAAACCGAAGACCGCCACTGAGGTCTCCCATTGTCAGTCACAGAAGTGCTGACTCCTTTACAACCTGCACACACTTACTGTGCTGCAGCCAATGATATTCCACCCACTGGTGCCGAGAGAGAGAGAGAGAGAGAGAGAGAGAGAGAGAGAGAGGGGGGGGGGGGGGCAGGCCAGATGTGAAGGGAGGCTGCCAATAAATTACAAACTCCAGGTGGAGTGCAGGAGCTGTGCGCCGCAGTGAGACCAGACCAGGTCTCACTGTGTGACTTTGGACAAATCAGCTCAGCTCTCTGGACTTCAGGTTCCTCTTCTAATAAACGGTGCACAGTCTTATCTACCTACCCACAGGGGTGTGAGGATGGAAGGAACCATAGCAAGGAAAAGATCCAGGGTTAAAACATCTGAACTTGCTGACAGCTCCTCATAGGCAGGGACTAAAAGACCTGCCCTCAGAGCATGTAACTCCCAAAATCCAAGGCTTCTAGATAAGCAAAGGAGCCCCTGACCCATTCCACCACCCTGCAGGAGCCCCTCATTCACAGGGGGCGGGGACCGGAGGGATCGACTGGTCCAACTGTGGGTGGCCCTTGCTGATAGAAAGGCCTTCATCCCAGGCCTAGGTGGCCCCAGAAGGTCTCTGTTCCTCCCTGGCACTGGGAGAGTGAGTGGGCCTGTCTTCCTCTAGCCTCTGAGAGTCCTGGATCAGCACCCTGGGATGCTGCTCCAAGGTCCTTCCCCTCCCCCCATTGTTTGCTGCAAAGCTGAGGAGTCTTATGAGGTGTGAAGGATAGGGAAAGGGTGGGCAGAGATAGAAAGTTGAGGTACAAAGAGGGCGTGTAAGTCCAGCCCTGATCCCCAGTGCAGCCCCCAGGAAGAAGGTGGACGGACAACTGACGTAAGCACATTCTGCCTAAATGAGCACTGAGGCAACAGTTCTACCAAGGGGGACTGGAGGCGCCTATGTAAATAGTATGCAAAGTTCATGCAAATCAGCACAATGAGCAGGACCAGATGAGGTGAGCATTTGGGGGGCTCACATACCCTCACCTCTCACAAGGTTGACGGCCGGAAGCTGGTCCCACTGGCAGGAGGGTGTCCTCTGCGGGAGCACTCACCTTTAGGGACCGCCTTCGGCTTCTGCTGCCGCTTAGAGTGGGCATCCTGCCAGTTGGACAGCTGCTGGAGGACATACTTCATGTCCAGGTGGGAAGGGCCCAGGCCACTGGCCTCCAGGGCAGACACCACCACATTCATCCTCGTGACTTCATCCAGCTCCGGTTCCACCTCCTCCCAGGCCTCGGTCTCCTCAGACGCCTGCTCTGCCTCTTCTGCCAGCCCTTCCTCGACGGTCCCCACCTCTTCTATGGCCCCCAGCTCCTCCTCAGGCACCAGCTCCTCTGGAGCTTCGAAATCTTCAGGTGGCTTGGGATCCTGTAGCGCTGCAGATGGCGGCACTGCCCCCTGCTCCTGTCCTCGCTCCCCTTTGCAGTGGATGTCACATCTAGGCAGGGAGACAGTGGGGTTTTCCCACACCTGTCACCCACGCTAGAGTTCCTGGCACCTACTCTACTCCCCAGGACTCTCCCACCAGGGACTTCCGAGGAGGACATCCCAACCGCACCCCTACCCCTCAGCTCTCTGTGAGTTCTCTTGCCTCGCCCTAGCCTACAGACCCTCATGGTCTTCCCTAGCTCTGTCCCAGCCAGGAGTGAGGAGAAAGAGAATCATCTTCAAGGTGTTCACCACCCAGCCCATGCCTCTTAGCAGGAGGAAGGAGAGTCAACACCAAAAAGGCTCCATCCTCTTGTCCAGTTCCCACCCTCCAGTCTAGAAAAGGGCAACTGGGATTCTTCATCCCAGAGCCAGTTGTCATAGCAACGAATCCACTGTGGTCAGGCTCACACGGGTCAGGCGACTTGCCCTGACACAAAGGAGCCAAACTGGGACCGAGTCCCAGGTGTTCCCAACAGCTCAGCCCACAGTCAGGTGAAGGAAAGTCTCTACACAGAGATGCCACAGCCGCCTAGGAGTCGTCATCTGAACGAAAAGGGAATGGCCCATTCCCAAAACAACTTTCAGATGAGCAGACCCACAAAACATGCCTTCCCAGAGTTTTCCAGTCACAGAACCAGCAACAAGCTGTTGTCTGGCTGCTGCAATGTGAAGTCAGATGAGGGGGAGCCCTTAGCCATGTTACCCCAGGTTTGATGTCTTCCCACAGTCATCCTTTAAGTCCTAAACAGAGAACAGGACTTTCAGTGTACTGAGGAAGCTCACGCTGCACAGTCCCTGGGGCACAAACACATTGAAAAGTCACAGGAAGCCGGGCACAATAAATCTCAGCACTGGGAAGGCAGAGGCAGGCAGACATGGAACAAAGTTCAAGGCCAGACTGGTCTACAAAGTGAGTTCCAGGACAGCCAGGGCTATACAGAGAAACCCTGTCTCAAACAGACAAAAATCAAAGAAAGAGGTCTCGGGTAGAAATGACCAATCCAACAGAGTCCACCGAGGAAGGGGTTAGGCAGTGTGAGTGAGGCAGGATGGACACCAGGGAAAGCAGCTGAGGTCAGAACATGAGGGTCAATCATGCCTCACTCAGAGAAGGCAGTTGCCACTGAGTGAACTAAACTTAGCACAGCTGAACCACGCCTGGATCCCAGTCACACACCTCTCCATGAAATATGCAGGGTCAGTGATGATCTTCCTTAGGGACGTTCGGAGCTCCTCAGCCAGCGTCTCTGGGAAACTCGGAAGTGCATCCTGCAACAGAGGGGAGACATTTCACCCCCACACTCACAGAAAAAAAAATCTGAGGGCAGAAACCAGCCAGCAGGGCTGAAACACAGGGTACCCTGAGATCAAAGAGGCACCCTCACCAGAGGCACGCTATATCCGTAGTGGGAGACAGAACCCGAAGGCATCGACGAGCGATGGCGGTAGCTCTTCCCATCCTCGTGGCGCTCACGAAACCTGCTCCCATCATCCTGCATGTAGGAGCCCTCTCGAAGGCTCTGCTAGGATCCAGGGGTACCCAGTCAGGCGCTCTGCCTGCTCTGGAATTAGGCAGAGGCAAGGGCCCCCTCTAGATCCAAACAGTGAGTGAGATTCAGGACGACCCTGGACAAGACCCTTTCCATCAGGCCTCAAATAAGCTACTACCTGCTGAGCCATAAGCCAGTCAGGGTGGAAGCCTGAAAGTTGTCTGTCTTTTGTGGAGAGCCAGCAGTCCCCAGGGGCCTACATCCCAGATCTGGGTCAGGGACACATGGAACCTCACCTCTGAGTGGACTCCCCTCTCCGAAGCCAGCTGCTGCTGCAGTTTCTCTGTCTGGGCTCCATACTAGAAGGAACCAAGATGTGTGAGACCACACCAAAGCCTCCTAACTCCTGTACGCCCCGCCCAAAAGTCTTCCCCGCCCAAAAGTCAGGAAGTCTTTGACAGTCCTTTTAGGAGGAAGTCACATGGAATGGGAGTTATGAAGTGAGGGTCATGCAGCCTGGGAGATCCTGTGAGAGCTCAGTTAGGGACATGACTGGGCATGTTGAATGGCTCTCTAGTTATCACAGGGAAGGCCTTTGGGCAGAGCCCAGAGCTATGGAAGGCAGAGCAGGGGGAGGAGGCTCGGGTCCCATGGAGCCTTGATAAGGGAAAGTGCAGCTTACCGACTGACAACGCTGTTGTAGCTTGGTGATCTCGGCCTGCAGCTGGGTGATCTCCTTCTGCTGCCGCTCATAGCCCTCCAGCCTCAGCACCAGCACCTCCGATAGCTCTGCCATCTGCTGGCTGGCTTCAGCTACAGAACAAGCACAAATCAGTCCTGGCTCTGGGCCTCTGTCCCACCCCTCAGGGATCCCATGGGGCTCTGGCACTCTTTGCTCAGGTCTTCTTCAGAAACAGCTTATCAACACAGCGCAGGGACTGGGGGTGTGGTTGGTAAAGACCTGATCCCAGCCCACACGGAGCTCCAGGACAGTGGAGATAGGCAGCTGGGGAAAGGAACTCACAATCCCAATAGTATGGGCTACAATGGAGCCAGTGTCAATGGTGGGGGATGGGGGACAGCAGTAGAGAAAGGGGCATCACAGGTAGAGCCGACTCAACCCAATGCTGCAAAGCCTGGGAAGGGCTCTGGGAGGAGCCACTGGTTAAGTGAGCTCCAACACACAAAGGAAGACGACAGTGTGGGCAGTGAGAGGGGCAGGGAACCCGATCACAAAGGTGGGAGAAGGGCTGGGATTGTCCTCTGACCAATGGGAAACCGGAACCAGATTTGGTTTCAGAAAACTCATCTGGGCTGTAGGAAAAGGGACCTGGATGGGCAGAGACATCCCATTGTGTATCATGAGGTGTCAGGGACTAGAAGGAAGGCCAGGGATGAGGTGAGGAGACAGCAGAAGTTAAATGCTACCCTTCTGAGTCTGCATTCCAGCACGTAGACTTGAGGTCCTCGGGACAGACAGACAAAGCCCAGGTTGGTGCTAGCACAGCCTAGACCCTATATGTGACTGTGAACTCCCCCAGTCCTAAATGCCCAGACTCTGGCAGCTGTTAGCTCCCCCCCTACTGTCCCATCCACCTTCCCAGCTTGTATTGTCCTAAATAAGACTTTAAGGACCTCTGTGGGTTCTACAGAGCTCTACAGTATGCACAGAGCACGGCCTCAGCTCATTCTCTCTCCTTCCCTGCCCCTCCCTCTCTCTCCAAAGTCTCATATAGGTGGTCTTCAACACCTGACTCTCCTGTCTTTGACTTTGAGTGCTGGGATTACAGGTGTGCACCACCAGGCTCGGCAATAGTGCTTCGCCTGGTCTTCATAATCCTCCTCCTAAAGAGGAACATTCTCAGGGGAGCCGAGGAATTTGTCTACGCTTACACAGATGTAAGTCCCAGAGCCAGGGCCTCAGCTCAAATCTCCAGTCTCCAAAACCCTGAATTCTTTCCATCACCCCTTGAGACAGCGCCCTATCCCGAATTACAGTGTCACGTACAGAACTGCTCCACGCATTCCAGAATGAGCATCTGCTCCTCGTCTTCCAAGTTGTCAAGGTGAGAGGCCTGGAGGAAGGGAAAGAGGAAGGGGCAAGGCTGTCACCGTTCTCAGCCAAAGGCATGCCCTCCACCCTGTCCTCACCTCCTCTCGAAGGTGGTCATTCTCTTCCTCCAAGAGCCTCAGCTTCTGCTGCAGGGCTTCCAGCTGTGGGCAGCTATGCTCTGTCTCCACCTTAGGGGGCCTGGTAACAGGGCAATGAAAGTCAGCATGCAGGGAGGGGCAGGGATGATGGCGGATCCCAGTCCCCAAGGCTTCCCCATACTGGATAAGGGTGGCCGTGGCATGCAAGGCCCAACAGCGCTCCTGGCAGGCTCACTGTCTATGCCCCTGTCTACAAATGAGCAACTGAGGCTCCGAGAAAAGGGATGGTCCAGGCACAAAGGCAGAACACATACGGCTTGGGGGCACCGTAAGGATGATCATGCTGCTGATCTTGATCCCACTGTCCTTCGTGTTCCTCCCCTTCCTCCTCCTCCTCCTCTTCTTCCTCTTCATCCTCCTCATCATCCTCATCGGAGTCCGAGTAGAGCTGAAGGAGGTCATCTCGCAGGTTTACCTGCTTCCGGAGATGTAAGATCTAGGGGAGGAGAGAGAAGCCACTGGAGGGTGAGGATGAAGGCACAGGACAGGTGCTAGTTTGGGGGAGAGAACACACTGACCCCTCCCCTTCTCCCTTAGGTACCCAGATACCTCCTCCCTGGCTGAGCCCAACATGGTTTCCAGCTTGTTATTCTCCTCCATCAAAACACTGTTCTGTTTCACCAGGGACTGGCCGATGCGAGCGGCTGTGTTCAGGTCCCGTTCTTTCTGCAAAAGGAGAGCCACCCGTTCATACATTCCCACTTTCTGGGACCTCCCAAACAGGAGCAGAAACTAGGGCTAGGCTACAAGAAGAAAGCCTCTGCAACACCTGGTTTTCCAGGTGCTAGATCAGACACTGTTAACCACCCCTAGGGTCTAACTCAGTTTCCCATTATGGGGGGCGGGGAATAAGATCAGCCCAGACTGGCCCCCTGAAAGCCACTTGGCCTTCCAGGAGAGGGGCCCTCAAGCTGGCCCCCAGGCAAATAGAAAAACAGACAAAATCCCTAAGTCCTGCAGGCAGTTAAAACGATGGCTGGCCTGGATGAGGAAGGCAGTACCCACCTCTTCCAGCAAATACAGCATCACTTTGATATCATCTTCGGTGATCTTCTTTGTGGGAGGTGGGTTAGGACACAGTGCTGCAGGAGGAAAGGCCCGAGTGAGTCAGGGAAAGGAGCCAGCCGAGGCTGCTCAGAGCCCACTGTGTCCCTCACACCAAAGGTCATGGAGCCAGGAGACTGCAATCATCCAGCCCTACCACCCTCTCTCCACAGCTCCTGCTTCCTCAGGAGGGGCCTGACTGCTCTAAGAGCAAAACCATCCTCCCGGCTCAGGAACTGGACTCCGAGGACCCCTGGGTCCTTGGTCCGTAGAGATATAAAGTCAGGGGAAATAACAGCTGCAGACCCAATCCGCCTGACCCAATCCGCAGCGAAGCCAGCTCACTGGAGCCTCCTCGGTCATAAAAACAGATGCAGTCACCCATCTTACACCTGTTGCGTGTGACAAGACAGCCAAGGAAGCTTCTTCGGCACCCAGAAGCCCTGAATCTAAAACTGCCCCCTCACTCCCCCCCCCACTCAGAAGAGGAGGGACAGAAACCCTGTGCCCCGCCCACTCCTCCCGCCTCAGCCCTGCTCCAGGAAAGCACTACCCAGAGCCCTGCAGCCAAGTAGTGGTCAAAAGCTCCCCCTCCAGCCACCCACGCAGGCTGATCCCACGGGCTAGCGCAGGCTCAGAGAGCCACCAGCAGCTCCTCTGGCAGCCCCCGCCCCTCTGCTGGCACTGCGGTAGACGGGGAGGGGGCACTGAGAGTGCGCAGATCTGCACAGCAACAGGCGCGAAGAGGGGGCGGGGAGCGCGCAAGCCCTGGACCTGACGCACCCGCAAAAATCGTGGAACCCGAAAGAGAGGAAAAGATGGAGAGGGAGACTAAACGGGCACCGCGGACAGCGATCTCGCGGGGGCGGGGCGCCTGAGTCGGTGGGCCCCTCCTCTCCGGAGATGCCCTAGTAGCAGCCAGTGCGGGATCCCATAGACTCAGTTTACCTTCCTGCAGCTCTCGAATAAACGCCGCGCGCTCAGGGCCGGACACGCAGGGCCTCCTGCCGATGTACGCGGCTGGCGTCTTCCAGATCCCCTCGGCCTTCCCAGAGCCCAGGCCACTGGCCCGGGGACCATAAGGCCCCTGGAATACGTAGCGGGTCCATGGGGCGTCCGAATTGCCGACGATCATGGACCGACAAAAGCTTCCCGTCTTGACTCGGGATCCCGGAGCTCGCTGTCCGGACCCGGTTCCCTGCGCCGGAGCAGCTTTGGGCTCCGCCGAGGGCTCTGGGGTCGGACTGGCCGCAGGCTGGGTCGCGGGGGTGCCCGCTGCTGAGTCCCCGGACCCCGTCCCTTCCCCCGCACTGTTTTGCACCTGTTCCTTCGGGCGCATCTTGACTCCGCAGTGGGCTGCCGCAGCCGAGCCTTTATAACCTGTGCCGGAGCGGGCTCCACTGGGCTGTACCACGCGTGTTGCTGGGGGTGACCGAAGATCAAGTGGCGGTACTGAGGACTCAGGATCGTGACAGAGAGAGCGGCAATGGTGATGGGACATGAAACAACATATTTAAAAGAGGAAAGAAAGAGACGAACGAGTTCCCAGTTGGCTCTGCGGGATCGGGTTCACGGTGAAGATCTCCCGCGCCTCCTCCATTCTCTGAGAATGGTTCTGTCCAAAGCCGTCGCTTCCCTGGACTTGGGCCGAGGGACCCCGAGCTTCTGTCTAGAAGCAGCTTCCCCCTCCCAGCTTCCCCCCCACCCGCGGGTGCTCCCGCCCCTCGGGCTTCCAGCTGCCTTTTCTGTTGTCATACCCAACGTTGAATAGAGGCCAGGGTGACCTGCGAGTCAGGGCAGTACGCCTGGGTCTTCCCAGGTGGATTAAGCGAGAAATGCAAACTCTGGTTTGGCTTTCAACGTGTTGCGTGTCACCCACAGGTCCTCGCGCTCGCACTCCCGCACTCGCCCCTGGACGTCTTCCATCTTAGTGCGTTCGCTCGTTCTTTATTTCCAACCCTGATTCGCAAGGCCTACCGTCCTTGTTCTTCAGAGATTCCAGAATGAGCATCTTCCGAGGAGATCCCGCTTAAATGTTTAGCTGTGACCACTCTTCCAGGAGCCCCTTCCCACGCCCCGCGCGCGCCCGCACACCCCTCTCCCCAAAGCATCCGTTATCCCGAGGTCTGAAAGGACCGATGTCGGTCTTCTTAGACCTGTGCCCTTCAGCCCATGGATGGTGTGCTCCCCAGAAAACTGGATACCTGGGAAGGTTCTCTTAAGTCCCGAATGAACTGGGCTTGGGGTGGGAGCTAAGCAGGGCAGTAGCCATTTCTGTGCGTTTAGACTGGGAGACAGGTTAAAAGGAGATGCGTGACTCATTGACTAAGGTCTCAAAATCATTCTTGATGTCATCCATTCTCCTCCACCGCCTTCCAGTTGCAAGCCTACAGACTTTACCTTTTTACAAATATGTATGCATCCTGAGTGCTGTGATTAAAGGTTTGTACCACCACACCCTGCTGATTTTAAATTTTTATTTGTGGTATAAGAATGTGTCCGTGTCTGTGGGTGGAAGACAGTGGTCAACATCAGGTGTTGCCCTCGCTCTCCACCTCATTTTTTGAGACAGGGTCTCTCGCTGAATCTCGAGTGCAGTACTTTGACTAGACTATCTGTACAGTGAGCCCCAGGCATCGGCTTAACTCCACCCCACCCTCAACCCTGGGGTTTATAGACAGGTGCCTTGCTAGGGATCTAAACACAGGCCCTTAAGCTTACACAGCAGTTTGCCCATTGAACCATCTACCCAGTTCCCTAAATATTGGCTTGTTTTGTGTGTATGTGTGTTTTGCCTACCTGTTCCTTCTGTGCACTACTTGCACTCCTATTGTCCACAGAGGCCACAATAGGTCATCAGATCCCCTGGAGCTGGAATTACATATGGCTGTGAGCTGGGAAAAGAACCCAGGTCCTCTGGAAGAGCACCCTGTACTCTCAATCATTGAGCCATCTCGCCACCCCCCCCACACACACCCATTTTCTTTTGGTTTTGAGAGATGGTCTCACTATGTAGTCCAGGTTAGCTTAAAAATTACTATGTGGAGCTGGAGAGATGGCTCAGCAGTTAAGAGCACTGACTGCTCTTCCAGAGGACCTGAGTTCAATTCCCAGCACCCACATGGCAGCTCACAACTGTCTGTAACTCCCATTCGGGGGGATCTGACATCTTCACATCAATGCACATAAAATAAATTATTATTTTGTTAAATTCACTGTGTTGCGCAGGCTGGCCTCAATTCTCCTGCCTCGGCTTTTCTTGAGCTGGGATTACAAGCATACCCAGTTTGAACTTGCATTTTAAATACATCTCAAGTATAGCAAGTTCCAGGCCAGCTAAAGCTACAGATCGAGACCTTATCTCAAAAAAAAAAAAAAATTAAGTGTTTTTCAAATATTCATCTGCTCAGCTCTTCTGTTCTCCAAGCTGAATGTTCATTCTTCTTAGATTGCTGTAGTATTCTGCTCCCTACACCCCCACACACATCCCACACACCAACCCTAGCCCCTCCCGGCTCAGGTACATTCTTTTATCCCTACTCCAGACTTTCCTAATACACTACCTGAGCTAAGGAACTCTGGCACCCCTCTTCATGTCCATCCATCCTTGCCTGAGCCCTAGATAGGGCTGACACACAAGGTTTTTGCCTAGCATAGAGGCTCCTAGTGCCTTTGGGGTCAGGTTTTCACACAGCTTGGAACAAGAGAGACAATTTGAAAGAAAATGCTCCTCTATCAGTACCCTATCAAGAGACATTGGCATTTGAATATGTCTTTCTACCATGTGATATTGTACATCCACAGCCTCAGCCCTCCAGAGCTGAGGCCGGTGAATCATGAGTTCAGGGTCAGCCTGGACCCAATGGCAAGTTTGAAGCCAACCGGGACTACTTAGCAAGTTTGAGGCCAGCTTGGGCTACATGAGAACATGTCTTAATGCCCCTCTGATGGGGATGTCCTTTTGTATACTGTGAATATATGTTTCTCTTATTGGTTGATGAATAAAGCTGTTTCTGCCAATGGACAGGCAGGATTTAGCCAGGTGGGAAATCCAAACAGGGATAGAGAAAGGTAGTAGGCAGAGTCAAGGAGGTGCCATGTAGCTGCCAAGGAAGCAAGAGGCCTGAACATCACCAGTAAGCCAAGACCACGTGGAGATACACAGATTAATAGAAATGGGTTAATAATTACAAGAAAGCTAGCCAATAAGAAGCCTGAGCCATTGGCCAAACAGTTTATAATTAATATAAGCCTCTGTGTGGTTATTTAGGACTAAACGGCTGTTGGATCAGGTGGGACAGAAACTTCCATCTACATCCCTCTCCTCAAAATAATGTTTCCTTTCATTCATTCATTCACTCATTCATTCATTCAACAAACATATTGAGTACCTATTCGTGTGTGTGTGTGTGTGTGTGTGTGTGTGTGTGTGTGTGTGGGTGTGGTGTGTGTGTGTGTGTGTGTGTGTACAGGTTTGTACAGATGCCAGAAGCTAGAGGAAAACTCTCTTGCTACCCACCTTACTCCTTTGACACAATGTCTCTCAATGAACCCAGAGCTTGACATTTTTTCAGCTGCACTAGCTGGCCAGCAAGCCCCGGGGATTCTACTCTCCCTGGGCCCTATCCCCAGCACCAGGGTTACAGGCTCATACAACCATGCCAGCTTTGTCCATGGACACTGGAGATCCAGACTCAGGTCCTCGTGCTTGTACAGCAAGCACTCTTACCCACACACATCTCCCTGGCTCTGAGTGCCTATTCTATATACCAGGTACTGTACTAGACTAGGGCTAGAGCAGGGAATGAGATACACTTCAGCTCTGCTCTACTGGAATTTTAGAATCTAGAGGAGAGATAGATGAGCAAGAAGACAAGTCAGGCTGGAGAGATGGCTCAGCAGTTAAAAGCACTGGCTGCTCTTCCAGAGGTCCTGAGTTCAATTCCCAGCAACCACATGGTGTCTCACAACTGTTTGTAATGAGATCTGGCGCCCTCTTCTGGTGTGCAGGCATACAGACAGACAGAGCACTGAATGCATAATAAATAAATGAATATTTTTTTAAAAAAGAAAAGAGGTCAGATAGTCATGGATTTTACAAGGTTCTCAGAAAGATACAAAGAGGTGTGATTAAGAGAAACAGGAAGTGTCCACTCTCAGAGGATGGAGAAAATCATCCACTGAATAGTTATTTTGCATCACAGCCCATACCTGGGCTGTCAACGTGCTGGGTTCACTCAGACTCCTTCCCTCCCTCAAGCAGCCTCCCACCCTGGGACCAGTGCTTCCTATTCCTAACTAGTGACTGTCCTTACTCCCACTTTACCTCCTTCCCATACTTATCTGCCCCCTAGGGTCATCTTCCCACTTATCAAAGAGACCATTCTCTCTAATCAGGTTTGTTTTGAAATATTGCTTCACACTCAACTCCTGCAATAACAGGGAGACATAATAAAGAAACGGCACCCTGCTGAACTTGGACCTCTCCCAACCCCTACCTGCTATTCTTTCCCTCCTTTCTCTCTCTTCTCTCTCTCTTTCTCTCTCTCCTCTCTCTCTCTCCTCTCTCTCCTCTCCCATCCACCTATCTATTCATCATCAATCTTTTTAAAGATGTAATTATTATTTTTATGTGTAGGTGTGTTTTACATGCCTGGTGCCCAAGGAGGCCAGAAGAGGGCTTTGGATCCTCTGGAACTGGAGCTACAGAAGGTTGTGGTCCACCATATAGGTGCTGGGAACTGAACCCAGGTCCTCTGCAAGAACAAGTGCTTTTAGCCAGGCGGTCGTGGTGCATGCCTTTAATCCCAGCACTGGAAAGGCAAAGGGAGGCGGATCTCTGTGAGTTCGAGGCCAGTCTGGTCTACAGAGCTAGTTCCAGAACAGCTAAGGCTGTTTGTTACACAGAGAAACCCTGTCTTAGGAAAGAAAACAAAAACAAAAACAAGTGCTCTTAACAATAAACCATCTCTCCAGGCCCCAGTCTATCTTTTTGGAGACAGGATCTTGTCATGTAATTCAAGCTGGTCTGGAACTCTCTATATGTGCAGGCTAGACTCAAACTTGAAATTTTCCTGCCTTATCTTTCTAGTGCTGGGATTACGGGGCGGGGGAGTTATGTCTTAGTTACTGGTCTATTGCTGTGAAGAGACACCATGACCAAGGCAACTCGTATAAAAGAAAGTATTTAACTGGGACCTTGCCAAGGTTTAGTCTATTGTCATCATGGCAAGGAACAGAAAGATATGGCACTAGAGCAGTAGCTGAGATCTTTGAAAGCTTTACATTCTGATACAGAGAGAGGAAGGGGAGGAGAGGAGGGGAGAGGAGGGGAGGGGAGGGGACAGGTAGGGAGAGACCGGTCCTGGTAAGGACTTTTGTGTCCTAGTTACACACCTGTTTCAACGAGGCCACACCTCCCAATCTTTCCCAAACAGTTCACCCACTGTTTGTGACCAAGCACTCAAACATATGAGCCCACTGGGGGACATTCTCATTCAAATCACCACACGGTATACACCGTTGCACCGGGTGACCCCAAGTCAGTGCTACAAAGCTGTTGAGATCCAATCGGCCAGGCTTACCACAAAGAAGATGGAAGATGTAAGATTTTCCTTGTATTATGGTTAGAGCCTTTAGCCA